TCACGAAAGTGAAAAGGCCCTCCTCTGTAGCATCTGCAAGTGAAAAGCAAATACTAATACACTGAAAAAACAATTACTTTCTATTAAAGCAATCAGTTGTTTTGAATGCAATCAGTTTACATTTGTGTTAATTACATTGAGATAAACCACTTACATTCAATACAAGTCATTTGATTTGTTTGAATAAAAAAAACAGTTTACAACACGTTTGTCTCTAATTAACAAATTAGATTTAATATTTATTTAAGGTTTTTTATTTAAGAAATATTATTTTTATATTGGCCTATCAAACGTTACAATTAAATTTTAATGTAAAATTATTCCAAGTATATAATTTCTTAAATGTGAACCAGTTGGTTATAAAAGTTAAATTTTCGTATACTAGTTTAAACTTTTATCAGTTCAATAGTAACAAATATTATTTAAAATTATTTCAATCACGTGACCAAGCTGTATGAATTATTTAATGAATTTTTATGCTTCATAATATATTAATGTTGACTAGATAGACTTAACAAAGCAATTGTTCTGAAGTAATATTTTTTCCTTGTTAGCTTATTTTTTGTACTTTGACCTTATTTTAAACATATTAATCTAATTCAAATTAAGTGTAAAAAATTTTCTTAAAATTATTATCAAATGAATTCCAATTTTGTCTTTGATATTATATATCCAGGCACGATGTCATTTGATAAGACTTTTGAGTTTTGAAAATTAATTTGAATTAGCTTATTACCTACAGCAAAAGTCTTGCAAATTTGAAAAGCGCTTTCTAAACAGTTAAATAATATTTCGTATCAGTTAATGTTTAATTTTTAATTTTATTTTATACAGTGAAAGTTGCATTATTAACTTTTACGTTAATTGCTTATATAATTCATCATGCTGTATTTCTGCACATAAACAAAATTTATATGAGTGTTTTCCTCTTCAAACAGCACATACCTATTAATTACACGCTCGTATTTGTTTTATACAGTAGCAGATCTTGAAATAACTGTTAATTTTACATGAAGCACGATCCCTGTTTAATTTGTAATTCGCTAAAGTTCAGAAGAAAATAAACTACATCAAATATTCATACATAGCAGAAGCAGGAACTTGTTTTTATTTTTTTTATTATAATTATATTTTTTAATAAAAGAGTGAATGAAAGAATATCGTTATAAAATCGCCAAATAAAAGGCTGTTTTATAATGTATTGAAGAGAAATTTGTGAAACTTCATTATTTAGAGAGTAGAAAATGTGATATGAATAAGTAATACTTAACTAATATGTAACAGACACTAACAATATGGTACAGTGTAACAGAATTGTTGAAATATTTATAAGGTCATTAATTATGCTGTCTCAATCTTTCGCCATATTTATGTAAAGAGAAAAAAGCAAATATATATATATAAGTATGGCAATTTCTAAATACAAAAATAATAATTAGAGTAGATTAATTTAATTTTTGGATTTGATATCTATGTATATTTATAATATACAAAAATACAGATATATCTGTAATAAAGAAGTATAATGAGGAAGAATTCCAAAGTATTTTAAGTCAAACCCATAAATTTGTATTTATTTGACCTTATTTTTTACATAATATACACTGTTCAGACAGTCACGACATCTCCTGCATAAAAATTGCATTAATGTTTCCAGTATATCGCTCGAATCTAAAATGTTAAAATTTAAATAATGTAAATTGTTACATATTATTATTTTTTGTAACACATTAATGCAACTACTTCTTTAATATAAATGTCAAGTATTCCCTGAAATTAACATTTCAAATGTTGTGACAGTTGTTAGCGATATATTAAATACTGTAACCTTACATTTCATAAAGAAATAACACCAAAAACGTTTCTATTTGGTTAAGTACCTCCGCGATAGTTATTTTGAAATTCGCTTCAGAGTTTCTGCAATCACAAGGCGATTCAGTTTCATAACATATTAAGTACATGTTTTCAGCTTAATAAATTATACAAAAAGCGACTTTTATCAATGTCTTATTTTTTATGTATGTATGCATTAAGATTGAAAGTAGTTTATTAAATAATATTTCAAGAAAAAAATCCGCACTGAGCAAAACACGTTGTGTTATATAATTATTGTATAATTTATTTCTATACCCGTTAATTGAGGTAATAATTACCAATATAAAAAAAATACTTACCTACGCTTGTTATGTAAGGGTTAATATGTAATTGAATAGTAATTACGTCAATAATAGGAATTTCCAACTGTCTGCAAATAAGCCTTCGCCAAGCCTGTATTGACAAGAATATGGTCAAGTTCGTAGAACTGAGAATATAATAAATACCATTAATGAAAGGCAGTTGACGCATAGAAAGTTTCGGGCATTATTTATGATATGTAACATGTCCTGGTACTTTACTAGATCTGAAACCTACATTGGTGGTCCGCTCGCTTGATTTAAAAATTACATAAAGGTTACTCTTCGAATACAAGAGAAAGTGATGCTATTGTTTTTGAAAAAAAACTTCGTATAACTATTTAAGCCTTTTCCTGTTGACACAAGTTATTGCGAGAGGCTTGCTCAAATCGATAGACAGTTGAACGGTTTTGCCCATGGCAGTACTACAGAGCATTTTATTCAGTTTATTAACAATATAGCGCATCACCTTCGGTTTTATACTGGATATTCCGCATAAGAACTGACACAGTGCAGGTCCAAAATATTGTATTTAAGCAAACTTACCTATATACAAAGTTGTACCAGTGAGGAGTTATTAGTCCCAATGTGTGTTTCGAAAGAAAATCATATCTCTGCAACACTTTACCCTAGAAGAACCAAATTTGGTACTTGATTTAGGTTTGTTACTGGTCTTCTTTGACTATGATTTAAAGTTAATTAAAGCACTACAAGGTGTTCATTCACCGAATTGGAAAATAGTAATATTAATTCACAGCAGAATTTAATTTTAATTCTTTTTTCTCTTTTTAAATTTTAAAAACTTTATGGTTTTCAAGAAAAACCGTATTAACTGACACAAGATTTGAACAGTGTTCATTAGAAAATAATCAAAAAGTTAATATTATTATTTTTCAATTCGGTCAATGAAAAAAAAGTTCGATACAATTTTAGGGGTGAGTCATCCCCAATGAACACCTTGTAGTGCTTCAATTAACTTTAAATCATAGTCAAAGAAGACTACTAAGAAACCTAAATCATGTACCAAATTTGTTTCTTCTACGGTAAAGTGTTGCTTTGTATATAGGTAAGTTTGGTTAAATTACAATATTTTTTGGACACGCCTACATACACCTGGCCGGTGTCGGTTCTTATGCTGGACAACTTGTATATCTGTCTTACTTTTATATTAATTTAAGTATTAAATATTAATTAAATTATAGTTCATTAAAGTGTTTTTCTTTTTGGAAGTCCAACTGATTATTAATTTTAATAAACTAAAAGCCCATATAATTTAAAAGTATTAGTACTAAATTATCATATAGCACAACAGTCAATTTTCCATATATTTACTTTACTAACCGTAAGCAAAATCAAGGTTATAATATTTTGCAGTTTTTCTTAAAATCATTGTTACCGTTTCCTATAATTAAAAATATATATATTTTTATACCCTTTTGTACCTATTCCATTATAGTTATATTTCTTAAATTATTTTTTACATATATTTTTAAATCGTACAGAAAATAGGAAATAAGAATTCTTCAGAATAACTAAAAGTAGTGTAAACAAATGTTAACAAGTCTTATTCAGTGATTGTTATACAGCGTGTGTCAAGCTGTTAACTACAAATGCTTTGAGTGAATATAATTGAATTTTTCTTATGCTATTTTCCATTATTTAGACACGTCTTTTTCAAGATCCAGTGTGTTAAAATTATAATAAAAAAATTTTTTGAGGTCGGTACTTTTTTTTATGCTATTATAAATAAAAATCAACACATAAACGGAACAAATGGGGGTTTTAGTGCTTATATCGTTCCTATTATTTTTTACACTCTCATGTGATGTAAATTTTTATACTTTTTTCATTCTTTCAAAATTTTGGTTTAGAGCTTATTTTACAAGATTTTGCAACTTCCTTTTTTATATATCATATAAATTCACATGCTGCTTTTTTAAATTTTAATAAGGCTACCTTTGAAATAGTATAAATTGCGATGTGTTTGTTTCTGCTAAACATCAAACGGCTAGATTAGATTTACTGATAAAATTTCTCAATAATTTATCAATTGTGAAAAATAATTGCAGAAGTCTATATTTTCCAGCATACTGTTCTTTCCTATTAATCGGAGATAAGTGTTCATTCTTGAGGGTAAAATATATTTTGAAATCTTAATTTTTAGTATTGATTTTTTATATTTGTCTCGTTTTCCAATATTGTAATCCAGCTAATCTAAAATCTCGATTTTAAATCAATTCTAATCTAATTTATTAAGTTAGACCAATTGAATCAAGAGAATGTTTAATCAAAATTCCGACTAAAACCAATACTTGAAGATATACCATATTTTTGTTTGAAATGCCCAAATGCCCAAATGGTCAAACATATTCCGATCACAATTCCGATGAAGTTGCCATATTTCGAAAATCAGGCCCTAAATAACAATTTTACAAAAACAGTACCATTGAATCATAGGCGTGCTTTCGAAAAAGATAGGGAGGTACTACAACTCTATTTCCTCCATTTGTGATTCCGTTTTTTAACCGAATTTATAAAAAAGTATGCTGGTCTTTAAATAAATGATAAACTATTAAACAATTAAGTTATTTATTAATAACTTTTTTTATTTTAACTTTGATACTCTGTGCTTACCTTGAAAAATGGAAAATAAAAAATATCTTCAAAGAATCTGTGACATATTTTTTGTAACATAACATACCTAACAACTTACTTCACAATTTTTGATCTGGAAAAACATAAAATAATGTTTTTTTATTTAAAAAAAAGGAGCAAGTCTTAGTTCACGCAATACTTAGTTCTAGATGAAATAAAACAAGTACACACCTGGTAACGTTAAAAAACACTAAACACTGTTAAACACTTGTTGGGTGGTTTTTCACCTCGTGCTTGGATGTTTCTACCAATGTAAACAGAACAGTAGGTAACGGGGTACTAATATCTCTGCGGTACCTGAGCCGGTACTCGACTGACTGAGTATCGCGGCCTGATTGCACTTTGTTTTGTTACATGCTTACTTGATCTCTACAGGACCAGGTAAGTCAACATTGTTGCCATGTTTACTGTTTTATGTTTAATTACTACCTGCGCTACGTTAATTGATGATCATTCAGTTTGTTGTGCGTTTCTAAGGTTAATGTATTACGGAATTGTTTATATTAAATCACCAGTGTGATTGTTGCAGTGACGTAAGGTGTGCTGGAAGTCGTGATCATTTTTCACTTTGACAGGTTTTTTGTGGCAGCGACAGAAAATCGCAAAATAATATTTGTAGCATTTGGAATTTTTTCCCGCCTCTTTATAATTGACAGAAATAAAAATTAATGTGTCACTAAAAAAAACTAAATAAGAATCAGTTTTTAAAAAGTATCTCAATATTGTAAAGTTATAGAATGCATATAAGAATTTATAAAAAAACAAATTGTAAAATTATCAGAATATCTCAAATTTATGTGTAACCTAGTGAACAGCTAAGAATATTTGATATCGTACAATTTTTTCTCCAATTTAAACATCTTTCTTGCCTTTTAATGACTGTAATACCAACTCTGAGATATCAGTAGGTAAGTAACTCACAAATCTTACAAAAAATAGTTTGTCTATTTCATTTTTATTATTAAATATTATGTTTAATAATCCACCAACGAAAATTTGTACCTACAGGTGATTCTATGACTAAAAAAAATGTATATAAATCCACAAATGCTTAGGTTTTGAGCTACCGAGCGATATAATTTTATTAATGTTATTTTATATATTTTTACTTGCTAGTAGATAGATTGGTACGAATGGTCTCATTTATCAGTTAATCACCAGACTTCAAACCATATTCTTATACTTTTACTTAAAACTAGCCAACAGATCACACATAAAAAAATGACTAAGCCTTAAGTAGTATTTTCGTGAATACCTACCTACTATTTAAACTATCAAAAACACAAAAAAGTAGAGGTACTAAGATTAATAATAATAATAATAATAATAATAATAATAATAATAATAATAATAATAATAATAATAATAATGTCTTTTTTTTCATGTGAATGTTGCCTCACCAAAAATATTCGGCAAAAAGGTATCACCCTGTAGATTATTTCTAATGGTAATTTATGCGTCCCATTTATCCTGAAAAAAAAAATATTGAAAATTCTGGATTTGAATGGATTATCTTGAAAACGAAAATAATATATGAAAACAATAAAAAATAAATAAAATTATACAATAAAAAAAGGGATATCTAACCTGTGTTAATATGATTTTTTTGGTTATTTTTGTTGAATTGCTCTAGAATTTGGTCGACGAAATATGAACATTTTTTAACAGTTTTGATTTAATAAATTCAATGCTTGCCAGTAGTACAAAAATAATATAATTAATTATTTTTAGCATGAGTTTACTTTCAAAATTAAAACACATTCAAATTTACACAGATAGTAGATAATTTTGCACCTATAAAAATAACGCAGCTGGAAGTAACTATTCTACTGTTTTTTTAAATTACCATTTTAATAGGTTTCTTTATCATTATATGAGCGACATTTTTTATATATTCATTCAATGTTATATAACAACCACTCCATACAGCGTATATTTATAAGTACTTACTGTAAAATCAACTTTATAATTAAGAATTTATATATTAATAATCACAGGGCTTTTTATAAACGAAAATTTGCATATGTCCGTTGTAACGGAATCAATGCAAATAATACTAGTAGTAAGTAACTGTGATAAAAATATTTAAGTGCAGAATAAACATTTTGACATAGAATAGGGGCTCAGGCTCAGCAATATTGTATAACAGCGTTAACTGTTAATATTTTATGATACATAAAAACATTAATTATTTATATAATCTTTATAACTGCACATAACTGCAATTACAGAAATGTATATTGTTATTTTAGTTGAATTTTTATGACACTGAAAAGAGATTTTTTACATAGGTACTGCATATTTTAGAATTGCCAATTAGTTTCTTAACGTTTTAAATTTCCATTGCACTTTTCTTGTCGAAGCTACTGTCTAATAAAAAAGGTAGCAGTATTAAATTACAATATACAGAATGTTTTGGGAAAGAAGTACCATACATTCTAGGGTTGAACATCGGAACATAAAAAAATAGGAATATTTTTTGCGGCCTACCGCTTTTTATTTTTGAGACACTGAGATGACATTTTTAAATTAAATTTTTGCCAATCTAAAAAACAATGTAATGCAAAAATGAGTATAAGATTTTGGGGGTGCTAAATACATCAGTGTTATTATTAACTGTCGAACCTTCTTATCTTCTTTCAAAAATACCACATCGTCATGTTTGCACAATGTTAATATAAGTTCAGTCAAGAACTTATTGTTAGCTATGGCAAGACACTATACTTCTATTTTCCAGAGGCCATTCTCCTATATTTCTGTTATCAAATATAACAAACTTGACAATGAACTGAAAAAATTATGCTATGCATCTTCTAAATACAAATTGAAGCTTATTGCTTATATTCAAAATTGGCCAGATTAAAGGCTGTAAGAAGGTTTTTTATATTTATTTGTTTTATATAAAGGTTTGGGTTGTTTTTGTGTTAAAATATGCTTATTTTGTATACATACTTTGTTTTTTTTAATTCGATACATGTTTATAGGTTATGTCTAAGAGCAGCTCACAGCTAAACATCGCCTATTTACATGTTTTTCTTTAATAAAGAAGATTATTATGCTTATTATTACTGGTATCTGATCATCTGCTAGAAGTCGCTAACTACGACTTTTTCCAGTGACAATTTGTGACAACTTTTTTGAGGTTATATAACGTAAAATTGTATTTTATGCAAAAAAGGACTATTGTTGATGTAACCGAACACACTTCGATTAAAAAATCGCAATTGATTGCCTAAAGCTAGCCAGCTTCTACTTCTTAATATACAAGATGTTCAATGCATGGGCTATAGTATAAAATGAATTAATAGAAATTTGGTGCAAACTTTTTAAGGAAGCAAAATTATACTTTGATCTTACTTGGTTTATTATCCAAGGAAGCTACTCTTGTAGTACGGTCTGTTTTCTTTGAATACCCTGTCTATTAAACGTTTTCAGCGATTTCTATAAAAGTACTTCTTTATGTAAAATAAAATTTGCACTATAATGTACAACATATTTTATCAAAAACCAAATTTGAAGAAAGCTATGTCATAAACTGTCATAAAGATCGGAATTAATGATCTCTCACAGGTGGTAAAAAACTAACATAATCGATTTTAGCTTTCTCAAAAACTTATCCATACCAAATTTCAATATATTCCTTTGTTTTTTTTAAGGGAAAGTAGAGCTATAATTTTATTTAAAAATAGTCATCTTTAACGTCCTGTACCTATCTCAAAAACATAAGACAGTAGACCCATAGCTTAAAGGAAAAAATTGTCTTAATTTCTGACTTTTATGACGTATTTATTATACTTTTTTCTGAAACACCCTGTATAAAAAAGAGATACCTTTAACAACAAAAATTAGAAAGTCGTATAATATACGTAAATGTGTTAATAATACCAGAAAAAAAAAACAAAAAAAAATTGAACTATCCCCTTCAGAATACAATTGGCTCCCTGATCCTAAACACAAAAATTAAATAAAAATTGAATTTAATATTTTCATATTTTTCTAAATTAGTTTCAGTTTTCATGGAATAAAAGTGTTCCTCACAGATTTTATTTTTACTAGTATGCTCTACTGCATTTTCATAATACAAATTAATTACCATTTTTTTAAATGAATTGTTCCTTTTTAGAAAACAAAACAGATACCTATCTTTTACGTACTAAACCAAATAATCTTTACCCCTGGAAGAATATTTTCCTTTCATCTTAAAAATTATACAATTCAGAAAAATTTTTAAATTTTGTCAACGGCAAATGAATATGGATTCCCGAATTAGTCTAATTTCGTTCTGTACAAATTAAAATTTAATGTTGTCATAACCAAAACATCATTGGAATTCTTAGAGTTGCAGATAATACAGCCTTGTGCACTATATGCAGACTATGCAGTAAATAAATAAAAGTGAAATGCTGTTATAATTTCTCTTCCCTTTCTTTTTCCAATGTGAACTGCTTTTGCAACTGGTTCTCAGTAGTAAATATAAATGAAAACGATTTAGGAAAAATATTATCTTACACGTAGTATCTACGTTACATAAAACAGAAATTACAGAATATTTCCTTGCAGTAAATAGCAAATAAAATATGCATTGTAATATCTATTTGCTATTGGCGCATTAATCAGATATTAATTAATAATAAAAGTGACATGGGAGCCAGTTGCAAAATAAGCTGCAAGGTCTTGTTAAAGGTCACTCAGTGGAGAACTAAATGTACAATGTTTCAGTATCTTCGTACATTAACAGAAGGTATTGCAGTTTCTAAAGCTAACTTTTTAGTTTTTGAAAATATTTTCTAAGGCTGACGCTCTTTTTCCAATGAACATGTACTTTCCAAGCACATTAGTAATACTTTCTCAAGTAAATATAAATATGCAGGACTCTGTGTACGATTACAGGACAGCAAACGTTAACGCCAAGTAAACAAACTGAATGATCATTATTTATGCAATTTATTTAAAGTATTTGCTTAGAATGTTTGCCCAAGTTAATAAATTAGCAGTAGTGGCTTTACAACTAACATTAACCTAGTTGATAGAATAGAATATACGGTTATAGTTTAGTTTAACATATACCTACTTATTAAGGGTACCTATTTTAGAAAATAGAGAAGCTAAGTTTAGACCCTCTTCTAGAGAGTCAGAGAGTATTAGCTTAGAAAGCTCATATCTTAGATATTTTATCAGTAGAAGTAGAGATAAACATCTCTATTAACACTTTACAGTACACATTAGTAAGACGTTTATATATAAATATATATGAAGACATAATAAACAAGTTAAAACAGCGTTATTAGTTAGGTATCTTAATTTTTTATTGTGTCT